GCGTGTGAGCGCGCCGTTGCGTGCGTTGTCAGATCTACTGTTTGAGGAAGCGGCGCGGCGCGACGCACGATCTGACGCACACAACCGGACGAGTCAGAGAAGAACGGATGGTGCGTTCAAATGCTCTTTGTAAAGTCCAATACTTAATAATAATAATAATAATAATAATAATAATAATAATAATATAATAATAATAATATAGTAATAATAATAATAATATAGTAATAATAATAATATAATAATAATAATAATAATAAGTAATATAATAATAATAATAATAATAATAATAATAAGTAATATACTACTACTACTAATACTAATAATATACTAATAATAATAATAATAATAAGTAATATAATAATAATAATATAGTAATAATAATAATAATAATAATAATAATCATAATAATATAGTAATAATAATAATAATATAGTAATAATAATAATAATAATCTAATATAGTAATAATAATAATAATAATAATAATGTAATCATATAGTAATCATAATAATCATAATAATATTCTTATTAATAATAATAATCATAATAATAATAACTTTCTTTGTAAATAGCAACAGTCAAAAATAAGATTAAAAGTACAGGAATAATATTTTTTATTATTATAAAATGAATAATACAACATAACTATGGGCCATAGCTAACCTGATAAAGTTTAACCAGACAGAAAAAAAGCATTTAATTTATGTATTTATATTAACTATCTAGAGAAATATTCATGTGGTGGCCACAAGTATACACTTATTTAATCACAGACAATTAAATATATCAATATTTGCTTGAAAAAGGCCCCAAAAGAAGATATTTGAACTTAAAAAATGACATGAAATGAAGCATTCAACTATTACATCTAAATGTGGCATTATAAATCAATAAGTTGTTTTATTAATTGTTTTGATTGAACTTGAACCTATCGTTTAGTCTAAAATGTGTCCATAACAGATCATTAAATCAATTTCTGTTTTAAACATGTTATTTTTTTAAATTAATCTAAATCAATTTGTTAAATTTTACCACATTTGACACCAAACTGGGGTTAATGGGTATTTTTAAGGGGTGGGCTAAGGGGTGGCAGTGGCCCCTCTAGATCCGCCCCTAAATAATGGTTCATTATGTTCTCTGTAATCTTTATTTCTCAACATGAGGGTGTTTGTCCTGTGAAAACATCAACATCAACATCAACGTCTCATGAGCGAAGAAAAACAAGACAATTACACAATCAGCTTTTTAAAACAGTTTATTTAGCCCAGGAAGTAGAAGGTATTCATTGGCCTAACTCAGTTTTTTGGAACCAGAATATAAATGAGGCTGCCAAAGATTGCAACCCCCCCACCAATTCACAGAAAAAAATACAGAGGAATGTGTCCTTGAAGGCAGCAGAGACTTTGAGTATAACAATTACAAGATGAAGTTCATGAATAACAAAACAAAACAATTCTGTGGCACCCGTATTCACGACTTGTTCACCTTTATTCTACTTAGAGTTTCCATATTTTCGACATTACCCAAAGGCATCATTTGGTGCTGGTTTTGTAACGTGAAATGTTGTTTTGTAATTTAGGAGTGAGAACAGCGCCACAGAGCAGCCGAGCACTGACACTGCAACAACAACACGATGAACACACGCTGCAGATACTCATCTCATCCGCAGCTCAGACAGACTGCTTTATTTAGAAAGGGAATGTTTTTTTACTTTAATATCAATGATGCAGCTGGACTCGTAAAGTGAACATGTTGCTATAAAAAGAATAACAAAGGAACTATTGTTCTACTAACATAATGATTTCCGATGACTGAGCCAACGTTTGTGAGACAATACCTCAGTGAGCTCAGCCTGTGCGCAGGGTGGCTGCTGATGTTTATCACTGGTGTATGTGTGTAGTGCTGGTTATAGTCCACAGTGGCTGAACTGGATAGTTTGTACATCGTGTTTTCATCGCAGCACCACTGAGCTCCATGTGCACATTTGTTACAATTAACACAATTATAGACTTTATTTGTTACATAATTTTCTTTAAATAAGTAATTTAGGCTCATTACTTGGGAACTGCTATCATACTTGAGTGGGCTGACAATTAAACATCCTGTTGAGTTCACTGTTAATGTTGATGTAGAGTTGTGACATTAAATTCAATAATTAGTCCCTATTAAGTATCTTTACCAAAAATTAATATTTGTTTATGATCTATTAAAACATGAAGTAAGATATTGTGATAAAGTGTACCAAATATTATCTGCAGATTTGGCAACACTTATCAAAATCTCTCCTGGTATATGAGCATTAAATTAAAAAAAAAAACACAAACTTAATATATTAAATCTTTAATGGCTAAATTATAAATGAGTTTAGTCTTAATGTTTAATTTCTTATGAGGATTTCATCCATTGGTCGAAAACCCTCATTTGTTCTTCCTATCCACAAAGAGCCACTAATGAACACAAGGTTTTAACATTGTAAACAAGCTATCGGAGGAAAGAAAAAAAACAATCTGCATTAAGTTTAGGAGGTGAAAGGAGACGACTTGCAGCCACAGCTCTTTCTTACTTAAAATCTTCAATCATTACAGAAAGACAAATTGCCTCCATAGGACAGCTATTCCACTATAATTGGTGTACACTGTCTTCAAAAGCTGAGGTGAGAGGTACAATGCATTGCTTGTGAAAGGAAACTCCAAAGCACATTAAAAGTGAATTACTTCTTGTGTAAAGTGTGTTCGGGGTCATTCTGGTCACGACGCGCGCACCTCTCCAAAAGCGCACACGTCTCCAAAGGCGCACTCCATACTTTCTAAAAGGCAGTCACATTGTTGAGGGGTTCCACAAGAGGTGTACATATGGCATCCGGGTTGCAATTAAATGTTTTTAAGATGTTTTTCCTTTCTTGAAGAAGTTTCCTCTTTCTTTTTTTCTCTCCCGGCAGCTCTTTGGTAGAAAGAAGAGGAGGAGGGGGGCACATTGAATGGCTTTGCTGCTAGTTTGGGATGACAACAATCTGGTCAGCGAGTTGTTGGACTTTGATTGCCCCCCTCAAAACGTCCTTCAAACAAAAAGCTGAGGACGAAAATAAAGCCCCACCTGGTACCTCTGTTTGCTAAAATAATAATAAATAGATTTCGTTTAATAAATAAGCAAAAGAGATTGTAAAGTGAAGTAGTAGAGGAAGTATTAATCAGGAGCATCGGGCAGGTATCACCTGCTCTGGAGCTTGCTCAGTTTATTGTTAAATATTGTTAAATCACTTTTCGTACCAAGTCTGCTCCGATATCTGTTATTTCCACAGCAACTGGGCGCTTATGTTTGCCCATACTTTGCATAACAAGCAGGACACTACAGCACACTGATAAAAATCAAGGAGAGAGACTGACAACTCCAAACCCACACCTGTCCATGATATCCGAATATGGATTTGGCATCAATGATTATTTGTAAAGTGGTAATATTCAGTTTACTTTAGATTTTTCGTGCCTTTTATAACAGCAAGGCACCATCTCGTATCTCACTAGTGTATTTGTCTAGTTTATTGAAAGCATATGGTTATCAGACTGTTCCCAAAACACATATTTAGACAGAAAGTTAAGGAGAGCTTTTTGTGATCCTTTGTTGGCAATTGTAAATCATGTTTGAGCTCTGCCACACTCCCCCTCTCCCCCTCACCAGAGCTGAGACGTGTCTGCATGTTGTTGACATATTTTACTAATCGTTAACTCTCTAAAAGTAAAGTTATATCATAAAAATGTAATGCGCCACTGAGTTGTGGCGATAGTGGACATGTTTTGGAGATGTCATAGCGCACACATATAGGCTCACATTACAGAAGAAATCGAGCTTTTATTGTTGTGACACACAACAAGAACCTTTGTACTATCGGTTCACACAACAGGTTTCAACCTCCCAAATACTCTTTGTTGGGGGGACCCATGCGTAATTGCCTTTGTCCAACCACCGGAGGTTTGCGCTCTAACGCATTAAGCAAATGTTTGTCCAAATGTATGTGGCATTAAAAATAAAATTTTCTTTGATATGGATCAGATTTTCTGAGCTAACAAAGAGTTGTTACTCTTTAAAAAAACTTTTGGCAACACTCAAGAAAGGACCAACTTTCAGCAGCTTAAAGTTCTTTAATGCCAACCATATCTGGTCATGTGATGTGCGCACAATTAAAAATACGCAACAGTATATTTAATAATAAAGAACTTATTTGAAAACAATCGCGGGGATGCTTTTGTTTTTGCCCCAGTTTTCAGCACTGTGGTGAACTTGAAGTTGATTTTTTGAAGCCCTATTTACCACGTTACCACAACCACTATGAACCCTGTATGTGCCAATATTTCTAGTGCGTAAAATGTGCCACTACAAGTATCCTTAAGGATGGAGATTTGAGAAGAGTTGCAAAAAATAATCCTGGAAATAAATCAAGTGATATGATGAATATTTTCTATGATTCAATTTCCTTTGCGCATAAAGATACGGCCACCAGCCTAATTTAAAGACCTTGACAGCATCTCTTTATTAACACACTATTACTGATGACAGAAGTACTGGCTGGGTCTTCAGAGCTTCCAGTGGAGCTGAGCTCTTACCATCAACACTTGTGTACCAGATACTTCTTATAGAGTTTGTTTGTGGGGGAAGAACTGAAAACGGTTGTGAGTGATCATCTCTACGTTGTGCATCAGAAACAAGAATGTCCTCATTGAACTGAAGATAAAAGCTTTCGGTGCTTTCAACCGTCTCTTTAAGATGGTATATACTATATATAATGAACAGAGTGTGAATAAGATCCCCAAAGAACCAGTAGTGATGGTAAATGCTCCCTGATTTTAAAATATTGCCTCCAGTCAAACTTATTTTAATGTTTGATATTAGAAAGAAGTTTAAATCTCACTCAGGCTGTAAAATATGGTTATTGTTAAACCACGGCACAGATGTATGACACTTTACCACACACATGGATTTGATTGAAAATTACAAAGAATACACAAAGAAAATAGAGCAGAGTGAAGAATGAGAGGGAGAGGGGGAGAGGGTGAAGGACGTGCTGTCTGGAAGCTGATTGGCCACTTGACAGGCGCTGTTGATTCAGGCGCCCACCGCGCAAAAAGATAAGATAAAGGCCATATAAAATAAGGGAGATGCGCATCCATCCTTCACTGTCAGCTGCACATATACAGTGTCTGCTGCCTCCAGCTACAAGAGAGGATTAACAAGGACGACTGGCTGCCTCTTCATCCGAGCATCACCTGTCAAGTGAGTGCAAATATATCCATCCGGCTCAAGTTTGTTTTTAAATCAGGTTGTGTGATCTTATCCAGATTTTCTAGATAGTGGAGTTTATTCTACCTCCTTTTATTACTTACATCAGTTAAAGAGGCAAAAAATCTGCACAGGAAATAAGTGAAATGGTTTCAGCACAGATTCATAAAATGTCAGAGGTTTATTGATGAGTTTGGAAAAAGTGATTTTCAGACTCTGAAGCTTAAGAAAAGGCTTGATTAAATGATTCTTGACGACATTATTCATTACTTCCCTGATTGCAAACTCTTGTAAAATATGATTATGCTAGAGTTTTTATTATATTTAATTCTGTTTGCACAGGATGTCTCCTAAAGTGCGGTGCGCCCCCAGTGACCTGCGCACATCCAGAGGCGCAGTGACGCTCGGCAGGTTTTCTGTTCGCAGCGTCGCGAATGAAGCCGGTGACACCTCGGAAGACTCCAGTGAAACTTTCCCTCTAAAACCACCGACTTTCCTGGGAGGGGAAAACCTAAAACTCAGAACCAGGTGTGAGAAGTCCGGCAGGCGCAGGATGAAGGCAAACGACAGAGAGCGCCACCGGATGCACAACCTGAACTCCGCTCTGGACGCGCTCAGGAGCATCCTGCCGGCACTGCCCGAAGACACCAAGCTGACCAAGATCGAAACTCTACGCTTTGCCCACAACTACATCTGGGCTCTGACCGAGACTCTGCGCATGGCCGACCAACGCGGGCACCCGCCGGAGTACCTGCCGGTGGGGTCGGATCTGAGCAGCCCGATGAGTGTCTCATCTGCGGAGTGGGACTCAGCGTCGTCCCCTGGTTGTGTGACCTCCGCTGACTGTTACACATCAGCTCATGAGGTGAACTGTAAGATTATATCAGACCAGTCCAGTGTTATCCCCGTTACCTTTTATTTCACCTCATTCTGTGGTGGGAATGATCTCAAGAACACTTGGCACTGATCACTAATAACGATGTCCACCTTTATCTGCCCACATGTCCAGAGCTGCTCTCTGTGGGCTGAACCTTTAAAGCACATTGGACACAGACAGATGATGTCAGAGGAAGGTCAAAAACACCTGCAGTGACATCACTGACTGAATCCTAATTGGCCAGAAAGGTAACCAAGCTTCCGCCCATGCAGAGCAGTGCAGCAGCATTGTCTACCTTCAGTGTCCATTGATTTGTTTAAAGCGCTTAAAAGAGTCACAAACCAGAATCTGATCACCTCTCCAAAGGAAGCCATAACTGTAAGTTGGGAAATTTCATCACCGTGTTGCACTCAATCAATTGCACTCTTTCACAAAAAAAAAAAAACAAAAAAAAAACCACGAAGCACAATCAATGACTTAAGAAGACGAGATCATTTGTTTAAGCTAAAAATATTTATTTGGTATTCAAATGTGTTTTTGAGCTATTTTTTGATGCATAAATGTAGGTCTATTTATTTAATAAAAACATTAGAAAACACGTCTCTTGGGGTGAAAAGTACTTTCCATGATTCAAAAAAGAACAAAATGAACATGTACAAAGACAAATATTACATAAACACAGTGGCTGTCATTCAAATGGAAAACTTTTCTTTTTTTTTTTTTTTTTTTTAAAGGGAGTGAAAAAATGAATGCCATCATCTCGTAGTATTCATCAATTTTCCTTTCATAGATTCCAAAGTTAATGTGCAAATCAACATTTTTCAAAGATGTGGTTCTTTACGGTCCTGCCTACCAGTGACTGTACTGAAGCGTAATGCGAGAGAGAAGTCGTCGGAGTAGCACGAGCTAAAACTGCTGCGAGGTCTTGGGTCATGTCGTGGTGTCGATCTCCATCGTGGCGTGCAGTCCGAGGGGGAGCTCAGCGGGGGCGCTCTACTTGGGGAAGACGGTGACCACGTCGTAGCCCTCAGGCGGAGTCACTCGCTCGCGTGCGTGCTTCTCACAATAAATCTGGTCCTCCACAAAGAAATGTCCCTTCTGTTTGAGGTTGATGTCGCAGTCCGTGCAGGTGTAGCACTCGGGGTGACGGAACTTGTCCCTCAGCTTCACCACCATCCCCCTGAAAGCAGAGATACAAACGTCACATTCAGCTCCAACAGCACAAAACTCTACAGTTTATCCAGACATTGATTCATAAACTGGATTTAAAATGATAAGAAAAGTATGTGGACGACTGAATAGTGAGCAAGGTGACCGATGGCTGATCTATAATGCCAATATCAAAACAAAGGAAAGTCACGTATGATTCATTCATGCTGTGCACATTACAATCTAATATACATGGTTATTTTAGCCAGTAACAAGTTGGTTTACCTGAAATTTAATAAAAACTGAAAAATACATTGGTTTATGCTGTAGTTGTTGACGTATTTAAGGGAAACTGGGTTACAGAATGTCAGAAGTTACATCATTCAACCGCATTATTATAACATAATATGAATAAAACACGAGCCAGTAACGGTTTTAGATTAGATTTGCTGTCATTTAAGGAAAAACGACGATGGTGACTGAGGAAATTTAGGCAAACATTTACTGCAGGATGCAGAAGAGTTATAGCACTTTCCCAAAACTCCCAATTACCAGCGCCGATAATCTCAAAATGCCAGATAATCAGAGCGATTAATGGGAAACAATGGGCGTAAATCTGCTGCTGCTTTAAGAGCCTCAAATCTTCTGGGAAGGTTTTCCAAGAAATGCCTGAACCTGGCTGCAGGGATTTACTCGCACTCAGCCACGAGAGCATTAGTAAGGTCCAACACTGACGGGTGGTGATGAGGTCGGGCTCACCAGTTAAGTTCTTCCACATCAAACACAAAAATCGATATGAGATCAATATCGATATGCCCATTTAACACAATCAGAACTCACAAACACTAACTAAGATACGATTGGACAATGATTTTATTACTGACTATATGACTTTTAAATGAGAAACAATCTATTCTTTATAGTAAAGAGAGAAAAAGACCTTCTTGTGGTTCGGTTTTTGTAAAATAAAGCTGGTGAGCAGGCGGCATCGGACATGAGGATGAACAGGTTTGTGTTTCCTGAGTATTTTATCTTGTAAAGGTGTTGTTTGCATGTGGTTTGTGCTTTATCTGTTAAACTGTACTTTCTCAGATATCCAAATATAATCACATACCCTCAGTCTTTTTCTTGGCTGTCGGCCATTATGTGCCTGGGGCTAGCACAGTTTGAGTATTCAGGAAGGGAGAAATGTTGGTGGATGGAAACGGTGAACAGGTGCTCCACTTTATGTGTGTCTCACATATTGATTCACTCTAGTTTTTTAAATGCGACTCAAACTGCACACACGTGGGTCAAGAGCACTCAACAGCGAACATTCACCACAAAGTCACATGCACTGCAGATTTAGGTGGAATATGATGGAAACTACCACAAAGAAAAAGGAAATGCAGCTACAACAAAGACTGGGAAACTACTTGTGACTGGGGGAAGCCGGTGAAAGGCGACCACATGAATTGTGAAACTTCAGCTTCCTTTTATGTTTACTGTATTTACTCAGTGTGGGAAAAGTTCACAGGCTGAAGATCGAACCTGTAACCTGGATATTGTGTGCGAGACGAGCTGAGGAGCCGAATAGAAATCTTTATCTTCAGCTAGATACACATCTCAATAATTCACACTACTGTCCCACACAAACAAACACACTCTCTGTACCCACATTGGATCTGTTGGGATCTGATCGCCCTACACAGACTAACATGAGAATTTCTTAAAGCTGATGATATAGATAGATGTTTTTAGATTTGTTTATTTATTTGATAGGGTCAATGCAGTTTAACAGTTCCTTTATATACAAAGCCAATACAAAGCGTGAGCGCTGCACAGAGTTTATAGCTATTGATACCGTTTCAGTTTTGATCCAAATCAATAGATCATTACACCCCTCATAAGTGAATATCAACTAAAAGTACAGATATGTTTTAACTTCCTACATAGAACACAGAATCTCTTAACCCATAATATACGTGAACTATAAAGTGGGCTGGAAACCCTCTTTTTCACTGTACTATGCTATGTGTACGTATGTGTAGGTGGGGGAAGAACGGGACTCTGATTAAAAACAAAAATGTTTGTAAATCTTAAATGATACAGATGTACTGTTCAAGACATTCATGTATTCATATTCAAATGTACAGAATAGGTTTTGGGGGAAATCCACTAACATGTCAAACTTCAAGGCAGCAACAGGGCTGTCCGAGAAGAAGCTGATATGTGAGGTCTGTGCTTTACTTAAATTCTGCCACAAGGTGGAGACAAACTCCAACCAGAAACAACAACTGTGCTGCCCTTTGTGCTGCATCACAATGTGGAAGTTTCTGAATGTAAAAGCACAAAGATACAGAGCAGGTTTCACTGAACACAGATATGAGCCGATATTTGAGGTTTGGATTCAGTTGAAGCCATAAATGACTCTGGTGCACTTCCTCAATGCTGCACAACAAACATGTGATCTGTGAAACACTTCTAAGGAATCATAAAATACTTACACAATCCCGGATCCACATTTGTCACAGGAAGGTAACTTGTCCGTGTTCCCCACGGATGATCCGATCTTTGTTGAAGGTGCTTTCACGCTCCTGAACCCTGATGGTTTATCAGAGTCACCTACAAACGCACACAGATTGACACAGAACTTAAACTTTTTGAGGTTTCACTGGTTCTTTTTATCAGGATATCAGGACAAAACCAAAAAAACAACTAATCAATCTGTTATCTAATTAAAAATTAAACATGCCCCAAAGCCCTACATTGTAAAAGAGAAACCCCTGATCACCCTTTGAGGAAGCTGTGAGTAATAACCGGGCGAGTACCTGTCTCAAGAATCTCCTGAAGCACTTTGAATGAAGCCGACTGTCGAGGAGGCTCGTCAGACTCTTGGTTCTCCTGCAGCATCTTGTAAACCTCCGAATCTGCTACTACAGGCGGCCGGTTCTGCAATGGATCTGTAGGAGCTCTGCAAAGCAAGTGTGCACATTTAAAAGGATGCCTGCAGGAGTCACAGGATGTAAAGTATAGTGTAGTGTATAATAGTAAACAGAACTTTATTGTTGGTCTAACAGTAAGTGTTGCTGGAGTTTTGACCTCTAAAGACACCTCCCAGACTTTTTGGCGATGGCCTAAATCTTGCAAGCTCAGTTTTTGCTGTGCACACAAATCAAAAATCCACTGAGAATCAGCTTATTTCAGCAGTTAGAAACTGACCTACCAGTGATCTATAAGAGAGTGCTTTCAATCTATACAATTATTGATTCTTACAGGCATTGTGATTCTTTCTTTTAACATTGGAGCTCTTTTGGCTCTTTTGAATGTTTTTCCTGAGGAGTATGTGCAGTAAAAAAGTAGCTTCAAAGAGAAAAAGTACTAATCATGTTGTATAATTGGAGATAAATCGATGAACTGAACTGTGAAACGTAAGTAATACACAACAAAAAAACAGGCGTCCTACGTCGAACATTAAGCTTTTAAAGCATGTAAAGCAACCTTCGAGGGCAGTGGAGCGTGTTGTTAAACTTTGACCTGCTCTCTCATTTCTCAGGTGATGGTATATTGACACACTGTATTTTACAAAGTAGAGGAGAAACAGAGCCGAGTAAGAGCCACAGAGAACTTACATACACGCCGTGAGTCACTACAAGTTTTATGGCAAAGTATTCAGTCATTGAAGGTGAACTATATGGGGAAAGAAATACTCCACACAGTCTGGAAACTCAGTTAAGAAGCTGCAGACCCATGATAATGAAACCAGACTGTTTTCATGACGGTTATTAATAATAAAGTGACTGTCATTATGGTCATACAGTGCACTGAATAAAAGATCCATCGAGAAGCATTGTGTCAAGTTTTGATCTAAGCTTTGTGACGACGCCTCAAACAAAGACACACGCCCTGTTAAAGCCACAATAACCACAGGACGCTGTCTGGCGCTTCCTCTGTGAGGAACATATCACTCATCTAAAGCAACAATGGAGCTTAGAATAGTCAGATTATTGATACTGATATAATCAAAAAGGACCAGTGTGCAGGATTTTGTGAAGTGAGTAGAAGAAACTATGGATATTATATTACATGTCTGCCCATAGATCCTCCTAAATGTCACACACTGGAAGTCTAAAATTCAATATGTAATGCTTTTACATTTTGGCTAAAGCTCATTAATACCACTGCATTTGTTTTGGGGTCTGTCTGACTTAATCTTGACCCCCCTTGGGATCCAGTCTGGACTCGGGACGGAGCTAAAGTGGGGTCATTTCAGGCTTTATCTTACTTGCTGCTGGGCTCATTAGCAGTCGCCAAGGTTTTAACTTCGTCCACAGCTGAGTT